AAAACATGTCGTCAGAGAGCTGGGTTCAGCGTCGTGGCTACATCAGGGCACCTGAGCCCGGGGCTCAGCAGGGCTGGGCGGCCAGGCCGCGGGGCCGCGACGCACGCGCCTGCGGCGGCGCACGCGTCTGATTCTGCTGGTCTCGGTGCCTCGAGCGGTGAAATTGCGCTCCCGAGCAGCCCGTGGCCAGGCGAAGTCAGATCGGAAAAAGTTCCCAAGATCTTAGACTCGAGCCTTCCTTGAAACCAGGAAGCACGTTTGCCTGCGTTGGCCCCAAGCGGTATGTCTGCACACGCAGAGTGCGGAAGCTACGCGGCGCAGGCTGCATGGTGCAAGCTGTGTACAGCAAGCGCAGACGAAGCGACCACGAGACGTCCGCGGGCGGCGACACGGCGAAAACATGGAAACGTCCCCCCCCGACGAGACACCCACAGGGCGCCCACGGGCGGCGACGGAGCGAAAACCCGGAATCGCCGCCCAGCGGCTCAGCGCACAGGCGCCCACGAGGCGCCCACGAGGCGCCCACGAGGCGCCCGCGGGCGAAACTCCTGGGAACCCACGCAGCGCACGAGACGCCCACGAAGCGCCCACGGGCGGCGACCCAAGGAAAACCTGGGGAACCCACACAGCGCACGAGGCGCCCACGGCGGACGGCGACTGGGAAAAAACCGGGCGAGCCCACCCAAATACTAAGAAGCACTGGTAAAAAAAAAACTCTCATTGCAAGTATATTTGGGGCACAATCCGCGGACACCCGATTGCAGGGGGTAATAAGGCGTGTGAAATGATTGGCTGTCCCCGGCCCCACTTTCCCACTCCCACATGGGGTCAGCGCAGATGGTGTCGGAGGATCGCGCCGCAACGCCGATGTATCAGCGCTGGTGGGATGGAGAAAAGCGGGCTCCGTGTCGCGTGGCATCGCCGGTGCAGCGTGCAGCGTAAATTGTCGTTGTGGCGCGATCCTGCGACCCATCTGCTCTGGCCCCATGTGGCGTGCCTGGAAAATGCCGTCTCTGGGGGGGGGTCATGGGCGGTCTTCGAGCTCCCAAGCGCACCTTCTTGCCCTCACGAGGCCCCACCCTCCGACGCCCTCCAGATGCCCAAGATGCCCTCCAAGAAGGCTCCAGAAGAGCTTCCAAACGGCCAGTGGGACCCAAGACGGCTCCAAGTGGCCACGGAGCCTCACAAGGATACCCCCGAACGGCCCAACATTTAAATACAACAGCCTACCCCCTCGAGGTGGGGCTGGATGTTGCGAGCCCCGACGGATATGACATTTATCCCCACCCAGGAGAGCTGTCCCATGATGCGGATGTCACCAAGCCTCGGCGTTTTACTCTGCCCCGCCACCACCTCCTCATACAAGAACGAGTGCACGGTGCGACCAGGAGCGCGTTTCTTTATGTTCGGCGATGACGGGCGTCATGGGGGGGGGAGGCGAGGGGGGGGGGTATGACGCAACGCCCCCCCCGCCGTGTGGCTCCGGCACCGCAGCCGCGCCCGCGCGCGCGACGCGACGAGCGACGAGCGACGAGCGACGAGCGACGACGACAACGACGCGAGCAGCTTGTACGTGGCGATATGCCCCACTGCGCCTGTGTACACCTCAGCGCTCGCGTGCACCATAGCGCGCGTATACCACAGCGCCTGCGCACACCGCAACAACCGTGCGCAACGCAGCGCCAGTGTAAACCAGTGCTTGCGTACACTACAGCACCGGTGTACATGTGTAGTCCGCAGCTACCATGTGCAACACAGCGCCTGTGTACATCACAAAGCTTGCGTGCACCGCAACGCCTGTGCACGCCACAGCGCGTGTCTACACCACAGCATCCGCGTGCAACGCAGCGCTGGTGTACACCACAACGCCTGCGTGCATAGGACGGGTAGAAGGAACATGTACGTGAGGATCTGCTGCGGGCAACCAGACGCCACGCGCCAAAAGTGTTGATAATCTAATGCGACGCTCTTCCCTCCTCCCTCCTCCTCCTCCTCCTCCACCACCTCCTCTTTCTCCTCCTTTTCCTTTCCCTCCTCCTCCTCCTCCTCCTCCTCCTCCCTCCTCCTCGTCCTCCTCCTCCTCCTCCTCCTCCTCCTCCTCCTTACCCCCTATCGTGCGGGGTGGCGCTACAGCGCGCGTGCGCATCTCAGCGCACACCGCATTTGGTTCTCGGACGGCCAATTTAGCTGGAGCCTCCTGGACGCAGATGGGAGGAGTTAGGGTGATGCAGGCGGATTCGGGAGGACGCGTAGATTCCAGCGGCGCTCCGTTGTCCATAAGGATTTGTTTTCTACTGTTCTCTGTGGAACCCACAAGCGCTCCATTTTGTCATAAGGATTCGTTCTAACATTCTATATACAACAGTGGTGCTGTGTTGCACACGGTTGCTGTGGTGCACACAGGCGCCGTGGTGCACACAGGCACTGCAATGCACGCAGGCATTGTGGTGTATACTGGTGCTGTGTTGCACACGGCGGATGTGGTGTACGCAAGCGGTGAGGTGTGCAAAAGAGCTGTTGTGCCCGCAGGCACAGTGGCACAAACTGACGCTATGTTGCACGCGGCTGTACATAGGCGGTGTCGTGTACACGGGCGCTGTGGTGCACGCAAGCACTGTGATGTACACAGGCGTTGTGGTGCAAATCGCCACCTACATGCTGGCGCTACCCGTCCTCCGTCATTCCCAGACCTTCCCAGACGCCGCCGGCGCGAAACGTGACGTCATCGACCCCCTCCACCCCCCCAGATGATTGCCGTCATCGGCCCGGAATAAAAAACAGGCTTCGGCCGCGTCCGCGCGCACGACGACTATGAGCGACGAGCGACAAGCCACGAGCGACGACGACGACGACGACGACTGCGGACCAGACTCTTATGCGAATTCCTACGCGGACACCTACGCGGATTCCAATGCGCACGGCGGCAAAGCCCGGAGCGCACTGGGGGGGAGAGCGTTACGTCATAGGGGGGGGGAGCGGGGGCCATGACGCCCGTCATGCCCCAAGCAATAAAGAAACGGGCTCCAGAAGGAAGGAATTCACAGATCCCATATGAGATGCAAATCGTCGGCAACCTTCTTACAGTCATCGTGCTACCATAAGGAACGATGAACAAAAAACGAACAAAACACGGCGAGCCTCGGCGAGCCTCGGCCACGAACGTGTTCCCCTACCTAGATCCAAGGAACGACCCGCAAGCCAGAGCCCCTCCTCAGCCCAAGGTGGTCCTCGTTTCAGCGTCTTCTGACAGAAGAGCGCTGCTGAATCCTTACGTTTTGGTGGGACGCATGGCGCCAAGACGGAGCTGCGCATTGACACCCTCGTGGTAGAATGCCCAATGCTGTCTGGTATGGTCCCTGTATAATATTTCAGAGGCCGCACCTTCTCGTCGCAGTCTTCCGTGTGCATCGCCCCTCCCTCCTCCCGAGGCACGATCCCTCGTACAAAGAAATGGGCCCGCGCTCCCAAGATCACAAACCCTCGCTCAAAACAATGGACCCGCGCTCCCGAGCTTATCCTAGGCGGCCGAGGCAGGCAACCAATGCTGCCAAGATGACCTAAGATGCCTCCACGACGGCCCAAGATGGCCTCAAGACGGCCCCATCGGCCCCCAAGACGGCCCAAGAGGACCACAAGAGGACCTCTAACAGGGCTCGAAGAAACCAAAATCCCAGATTTTCTTTAGACTTTAGACGTTTTGAATACGGGTGTCTTTGCCACTTCTGGATTTATTCAGCTTCAGACACTCCTAGAAGCCTCCACGATGGCCCCAAGACGGCCCAAGATGGCTTCAAAATGGCCAAATAATCATCCACGACTGCCTCAAGAGAGCCCAATGTAAGAGGGCCCCTGGACGGCCCCAAAAGAGTCCAAGCTGGCTCAAGAGAGCCTCTGAGAGGCCCAAGCCGGCCTTGGAGAGCCCATCGAGCATAGAGGGCCCAAGATGGCCCCAGGACGGCCCCACGACTGCCGCAAGACACCCAAGACGGCCAAGAGAGCCCCAAGACGGCTCAAGAGTGCCCCAAGACGGCCCAAGCGCGCCCAAAGACGGCCCGAAAAAGCCAATGGACCCCCAAGACTGCTCCACAGGGGCCCGAGGAATGACGGAAGAAAGGGAGGAAGAAGACGACGAAGACGAGAAAACAACCCCCGACATGACGCTGAAGAGTGCGCCCATGTTACGGCTCACCAAAGCCTCGGGACACGAGGTGTCAAACGTCACGGCCTCTTGTGCCCACTCGAACAGTCGCCACCCATAATGCTGGAAAGGCACGGTTGCCGCAAGCAGCTGGATAATCTGCAGGCCGGTCCCTTATTTGGAGAGTCTGGCAGATAGACAGACAGACGCAGCGACAGGGGGGGACAACTGATGGCACTCTCGTACTTTAGCACGTCTGCTGCTGACTATACGCGACGACACTATCCGCGTCCCCAGGCGCTAACGAGATTGGCGACTCATGGTTTACAACCAGCGCTCAAATGGAGGGTTCCGCTCAAGCGAATGCGTTTCATGCGGGGTATGGGTGGTCAGGCGTGGAAAGCAGTTCGCTGTTCATCGCGGGAAGATGGCGGTGGTGGGGGGCTTCAAATTTACAACATTGCCTGCGGCGGGGCTCCGCTTGTCTACCGAGACTGCAATTACAAGGTCACTTAAGACTGATCCGTGGTCGGCCACGGATCCCCCGATCGCTGTTCAAAACACATTTTCCAAGCGCCCACATGCAACAAAAAACTCTCTCAGAGCTCGAAGCCATTCGACCACCGAACAACCCCTCACTCATACCCGCCTCTGGAGGGAATCTAGGCAGGGCTCAACAGCGCGGGCGCAAGACGCAGTCCTCCAAGATTCCGTCGCTTACCCTCGTTCAAGGTCCTCCCCGCGGCCATTGCAACACATCGGCGTTGCACTGACCAAAAATCGCCGATGCCACATTCGGCATGATCGCTACTGTCGCCACCACATGTGAATTGCAAACTACACAGTGCTCTATGGGTGACAACAACAACCATCAATCAATAACCCAGGGCCTCGAAACCCGTGGGCAAGCGGGGGGGGCAACCTCGATGCTTCGCCTGACCTCTGAGCGAGTGAACCGTAGCATTGGTGTATCCCCCACTGGGGCTTCTACAACAATGTTCGACTCGAGTGAACCACTGGACGGCGTGAATCAGGGTAGACAGTGACTGGTTGGATTGGAGAAGAGGCCAGACACAAGAAGCATGGTAAGCAACCAATGCAAACATCGCCATGGCAAAGTGCGCGAGAAGAAGGGAAGCTGTTTCAGGTCTGACCCTGCGGTCTGTCTTCGCCTGAGGAAAACAACTTACCCAGGCCGCGCAGTGAAGATTCCACGACATCTGCCAGGAAGTCGTCGAAGGCGGACGAAGGTCGCGCCTCCTGACAAGGGCACGAAAAACACCAGCAAGTAAAATGAGAAAGAAGGTGGTGAGAGAGGCAGGGGAAGACCAAATGGGAAATTAGAATGAGAAATGGAGATGGCGAGAGAAAGAGAAATCGAGAGAGAGAGAGAGAGAGAAAGCGAGCGAGGGAGAGAATGCAAAGAGGATACATGTAGGAAGGAAGGTAACTAGAACAAGAGCGAAACAGGTATAAAGAGAGAGTGGGGACGAAAGAACGCAATGACAATTTAAGGCGCAGGCACGCAACGGTCACTTGCATACGTGTGCACGCTCATCATGCTCCTATACTATACACTGTCGCTTACAATTGATCTAAAAGCATGTCCCCCAATGAAGCACATGCGAGTGGGCTGCCAAATTAACAATTCGTTGGCCTCCAGCGCATCCTCCTGCACCGTCGCCTATGGGCGGGTCGTTGGAACATGTATAGGGTCTGTGGACACTTCTCCAGGGAGAGGGGGGGCTGTAAGTGGATGGCTAATTTAACGAGTGCGCCACAATCCGCACTTCAGGGAGGGAGAAAGGAGGGTGATCTGCACCACTGCGTCCTTTTCGGTTCAAAGGCTGCGACCCCGAAAGGACTATGGACTGTACAGAACTTCATGTCGCCACCCACACATATTCCCCTTTTACTGCAACGCTGTTCGTTGACCTTCGCCTGGGTGAGGCAGGCACTCAGGCAGACTTGACAACACCCAGCACATGTTTCCCCAGCGCAACTTTGGTTGAAGAAGAGGAAAGCTGCGGGGAATGACAGCGCGACGAACACAGGAAATAATTCTTCAGTGAAGCACAGCCCCAGAATCAATCCACTGAGGCTCGGAACAAACGCAAGGTTGCCGATCAGAAAATCTGAGCCCAAGGTCCGTGCACGACCACGTGAACTTAAAAGCCCGACGAAAACAAAAGGAGAGAGGGGATGAAGAGACTACGCGAACTGCCACAATGCATCAGCCCCTGGCGTTGGTCGAGCACCCCCTGTGGCCTGAACAGCCACCAGTTATACAACCAACGTTGAAGAGAACGTGCACATCGACGACAAGCCGCAGCTCAAAACCTGGGTCCGCACATCCGAGAGAGCGTGATCAACCGCCCGCTTTGCTCTGGAAAACCCCCCCCCCATTTCCTCTGGAACCCGGGGGTTCCCCTCCCCTCCGAAAATCCCCGTCCCCCTGCTCGAACCCCTCAGCCCCCGCCCCCCTCCCACGGCAAACACCCTCCCCCCCCCCTCCCCGGAAAACCGAAGGGGGTGGGTCAATACCGGTTCAAACCCTCCCCCGTGCCCCCCCCGGACAGCCGGGGCGGGTCACTGCCGGTTCGAACCCCACCCCCCCCACACTCGCCGCCGGCAATCGACTCCCGGGTCTCCACCACCGTCCTCACCAACGCCCTCGCCACTGTCCCCACCATCGCCGTCCCCACTGTCCCACTGTCCCCACTGTCCCCTCACCACTGTCCCACTGTCCCCCCTGTTCCCACCAGTCCCCACTGTCCCCACCAGTGCCCCCACCACTGTCGCACTGTCCCCACTGTCCCCACCACTGTCCCCACCACTGTCCCCACCACTGTCCCCACCACTGCCCCCCCCACTGTCCCCATTGTCCCCTCCACTGTCCCGCTGTCCCCAATGTCCCCACCTCTGTCCCGCTGTCCCCACTGTCCCCGCCGCTGTCCCACTGTGCTGTCTCACTGTCCCCACTGTCCCCACCACTGTCCCACTGTCCCCACCACTGTCCCAACTGTACGACTGTCCCATTGTCCCACCGCCGTCCTCACCACCGCCCTCACCACTATCCTCACAACCACCGTCTCCACCACTGTCCCTGTCCCCACTGTCCGCACCACTGTCCCACTGTCCCCTCACCACCGTCCCACCACCACCACCGTCCCCACCACTGTCCCCTCTACTGTCCCACTGTCCCCACTGTCCCCACTGTCCCCACCCCCCTGTCTCCACCACTGTCCCACTGTCCCCACTCTTCCCACCAGAGTCCCGACTGTCTGCGAGGAATCGGGGGTGGGGGTTCGAACCGGTAGTGACCCCCTCACCGGGGAGGGGGTTGGAACCCCCAGTGTGACCCCCTCCGTTTTCAAGGGGGGGAGGGGGGGAAGGGGGCCCCCAGTGACCCCCCTGGGTTTTCTGCCAGCAGCGGCTGAACACGCTATTTCGGACATCCAGAGCCAAGGCGAGCCAAAGTCAAGGCGAAGTGAGACGCCCACCACAACGCTGAGCTGGACAGCAGCACGCAGAAAAAAACAAGACAAGACCAACGAGGAGGGAAAGACGACGACTGAAGGAAGACCCCCACAGCCATCCTCCATAAGCATGCTGCCGCCGTGTAAGGCCCTGCAAATGCCAATGTGGTGGAGGTGAGGAGAAGCAGGCAGAGGAGGCAGAGAGAGGGCCAGCCCCAGCAGGGTCAGCCCGCGCTCCGCCTCTGGGAGGAGAGTGGGACGCTCCAGAGCATGCAGCTCTCAGTGCCGAGCGGAGCGGCATGACTGGAGCTGCATCCCGCCAGGCGGCATGCGCATGCCGCGGAACTGCACTATCCAGTACATGCGTATGCTCACCGACGTGCACCAGCATCATCGCAAATCGCGCGACCACCACGCCTCCTGGAGTGGCACCACGGGTCACCTGCACAGGCGGAACCAACAACATGACATCAAAATCTGCCTACGAAAACTCGTCAGCCGAGCCGCAAGACGTCTACTGGGGCCTGGGTCCAGCGAGCCTAGGGCGGAAGGCCGCAAATGCGGCTCGAGTATCGGCACTCTGCCAGGACAGCCGAAATATCACCAAGGAGGACGGGGAGCAAGAAGAGGAGAAAGAGGAGGGATTGGAGAGGAGAGGAAGAAAGAATGACTGCCCGAATTTCCGCCCGACGTCTGAAATAAGCAGACCTTGACACAATGCGCAGCTGGGCGTGCATATAGACGCGCGGCTGGACGTGCGTCTTAGACCCGCCAGGGATGCAGTTAGGCACTGGCGGTTTCCGCGCGAACGCTGCACGCCTAGCGGTACGCGAGAGAGGAGGCGTGGGCGGAACATAGAGGGGAAGGACGACACCCAGCGACGAACGACGAAAACCATGCATTGCACCAGGCCCGGCCCACCCCAGTAAGAAAACAGTGACCGCGTGAGACATTCGGCAGCGAATCCGCCGTACAGGCATACTGAAAAGGAGGAAGGGGAGGATATTCAAGAACGGTGCTGAAAACTAGTCCGCTATACGAGACCTCCTCACGGCCGTCTGAATGAGATGCTGTAGCTTCGGGTGGGCAAGCGCGGCCGCCCGAACATAGCCACGGAATGCCTCTGGGGCGGCGGCGCACAATTGTCCGTGTCGCCACGCATTGCGTGTCCGAAGCAGAGCATACACGCCAACGGCACAAAGGGCAATTGCAGCCGCCGTAGCCCCTCACCCCTGCACAGCTCAGGGAGGGAGGACTCCCAACGTGTCATACCTTCTTGAACCAGGAGCCAGAACAAACAACACCACCACAACCAACTCGAGGAGCCAAGGGGGGTCCTCCTGGTGATGTGGTCACCCCTCCACGCTCGAGACATCCTCTATCACCGGTTCGGGGAGGCATCGTGAATCACCCCTGGTGGTGGTTGTGCCGCATTTCTTTCTTCCGATTTCAAGGGCGCATCATGCATCTGGAATCTAGCCAGCACCGGTCCAAGAAATCAGCGCGAACCTCCACAAGTGTATGTTCTACCCTGCCTCGACACGTGCCACGAGGCCGCCGACGGCATTCCCAGAAGCAGCGGGGCGCCTGGCGCGAAGTGCGGCAGTGCGCAGGCCATGGCTGCGAGGCGGGTATGTATCCATTTCCACCGCCTGTGGAACTGACGTCCTGAGACCCCAGGGGAGGGTGGGTATGGGTACATTGGCCACAAGGGGCCCGAGTATATCCAGCTCCACCGCATGTCGAGATCCCCGAAGATGGATCACCAGGCGGTGGTTATGGATAAGTCCCCGCCTTGGAGTGGCTGCAACTTACGCATCGAGCAGGAGACGCTAGCGCATCTGCGCCCGCAAGAGCGGCACGGCAAACTGCCCTCGCCAGCAGCGCCCGCGGCGAGCAGGCCCAATAGGCTGCGCCCTGCCCTAGTCGAGCCGGGAGCCCTGACTTGCGACCGCACTGGTGCCACACCAATGTGGTCTCGTGGATGATGCTGCCGTTGCGATGACTGGCGCGAACATTGCCACCAACCATGGACTGGATTGCACTCGAAGTGGCTCTCGGAAGAGGCCGCGCAGGACAACTGTGCATTGCATTACTCCAGAATGTAGCAAGTGATGTAAACCATCGCCCCAGATGAGGGCTCCTGGTTCAGATCGGTCCCCAGTATGACAGATTGGATAAAGCTGGATCGGCAAGGGAAATCAAATCGGCAACGTTGTAGACTCGATCTGAGCAATTCCGAACCGGATCGATCGAACCGAAAAGGATCCTGGTGTGAGAGGTCATCAATGGCGACCACGAACACGCGCAGAAGTTCCCGAATCCAAAACTTGTCGGGGACGTGCTAGCCCAGGTCAGCCCTATCTGTCTTGAGCCGGCAAGGACCATGTCGCAAACCCCGGCCAGCTGCGTTGACACCCAAACCGAAATCAACCAGCCTGAACAAACGGGTCCTGAGGGAAACGGGTCCTGGACCCCGGGGCCTACCCTACGACAGCTTTCTGGGGCCGGTGGAAGGCCCCGGGACGCCGAAAACAAAGAAGAACCTCGGGACTCGTTTCCCTCAGGACCCGCTTCCTTCACGGCGGAAGATCGGAAACGGATCGGATCGAGCCGGCCAGGATGGACACTGAGTCGGATCGATGCGATCGAAGCAGGCCCCAAAGTATCGCGAAGACCCGCCCGGTCCCGACCGACCCCGCAGGCGACCCGCCGCTCACAGCGCTTGCGCAGCGGCGCACCGAGCCTGCCTGCAGTGCGCGCGGCAACCGGCCGCACGTTGGAGCAGCTCTCTGGTGAGACAGCGATTTCTTCCGAATCACTGCTCCTCTTACCACCCTCTTGACTTGCTGTCCGTCCGTCCGTCTGCATGCCCAGTTCTGCCGCGGCGTCCAGCCAAAATCATTGGTTTTACCAGGGTGTTGACCCCATTTTGGCCTCTTGGGGGGGCGGCGCTAATTAGGGACCCCCCCTGCTTTGATCGATCTCCTCCGAGATGGCCCCACGAGCGCTCCCAAGGCTCCCAAGGGTGCCCCAAGAGGGCGCCAACAGGTGGCCAGGAGGCCCCAAGAGGGCCCCCAAGAGGCCCCCAGGATGCCCCCAAGAGGCTCCCAAGAGACCCTCAAGAGCCCCCCAGAGGCCCCCCAGAAGCACCCAAGACGTTGCAAGAGGCCTCGGCGAGAATGCCAAAACCAATGATTTTACAAAGGCCTTGGCCACATTTTGGCCTCCGGGGGGGGGGGGGGCACTGCTTAAGATGACTTCAAGAGCACCTGGGAAAGCCCAAGATGACCTCCAAGATGGCTCAAGATATCCTAAGATGCCTCAAGATGGCTCCCACGATGGTACAAGAGGCCCCAAGACCGCTCCAAGACGGCTCCAAGTGGCCAAAGAGCTCCCCCTGGAGGCCTCGAAGAGGCCAGGAAAATACATGTGTTTGGCTTTCTCGCCTTTTGGCTTCCGATGGCCATCCGAGGCCTCAAGATTGCTCCAAGATGGCCCAGGAGAGCCCTAAGAGAGGCCCAAAGAAGCCCCAAGACGGCCCCAAGAACGCCCAAAAGCGCTCCAAGAGCGCCCGAAGAACGCTCAAAAAGGCGACTTGGGGGGCTCCCGAGGGGAGATGCTAATTAACAAAGCCCCCTTCTTTGATCGATGTCCTCCAAGATGGCCCCAAGAAGCGCCCGGTAGGCCCCAAGAGGCCCCAAGAGGCCCCAAGATGGCCCCCAAGAGGCCCCCCAGAGGCCCCCAGGAGGCCCCCAAGAGGACCCCAAGCGGCCCCCCGAGGCCCCCCCGAGGCACCCAGGACGCCCAAGAGACCCCACTGACGTCCCAAGAGGCCCCCAAGAAGCGTCCAAGAGATATCCCAAGAGGCTTCGAGAGGCATCCAAGAGACCTCTGGCCCTTTTGCTTGCCCTCCTCCTCCTGCTCATCTTTCCTCCTCCTACTCATTTGTTGTTCCTCCTCCTCTTCCTCTTCCTCCTCCACCTCCTCTTATTCCCCTCCTCCTCCTCCCTCCTCCTCCTCCTCCTCTCCTCCCTCCTCCTCCTCCTCCTCCTCCTCCTCCTCCTCCTCCTCTTTCTCCTCTTATTCCTCCTCCTCTTTCTCCTCCTCCTCCTCATCCTATTCATCCTCCTCCTCCCCACCCCCTCATCCATCCATCCAGCCTCTTCCCTTTCCTCCTCCCTCCTTCGCACGGTTCGGCCGTCCCCCTCTTTGCTCCCGTACTTTTCTGATCACCTCAACTCGCTTGAACATCGTTTCTGGATGGGCTGGTGGGGATATTTGTCGATCGAGACCGCGACGAGAAGATCGGGCGGCGTCGAGGGGCGACGCGCAGAGGCGATGGCCTCAACTAGCGCACGGGAGGAGGAAAGCGAAAAGAGGCACGACCAAGCAAGGGGGGAGGCAAACAGGAGGCGGGCCTCACTGCCGCTCGCCGGAGAGCGCGCGCCAGGAAGTACTCCGGGGCGACGTGCAACGCCAGGTGGCCAGGTGGGAATTCAGAAGCCAAACCATGTCCACGACGAAAGAGACCGCCACCGTGACGCACAGCAAGCCCAGGGCAGGCCGAGGGACGCGGAACGTAGGACAGCAGGCCACTGCCACGGGGGAAAAGGCGAGCGCGCAGGGGTGCCGGGCGCCGCCCAGGCGGCCAACGAGCAACGGCCTACATTCCGCACAAGAGCGCACAGGAGCGGGCTACGGTGCGGCTCAGGGAACGCGGTGGACCAGGAAGAGCCACTGGTCGAAGTGCAGCGCCAAAACGGCGAAGAGCAAAAAGCCCACGTATTCGAAGACCGCCGTGACGCAGCCGAAGAGAACGACGAACAGTAACATGCAGGCGCTTAACGGAGAAGGCTCCGGATCGCCAAGCCCCGACAAAGGATCGGAGCAGGGGCGCGGAAGCGGCGGAAGCGCCACCGCGGGCGGTGGGACAGGGAGAAGGCAGCGCCACGGCGGCCCAGGAGCAGCAGAGGCGGGGGACCGGCGGAAGCAGGCCGCCCCCCTGCGCTGGAGGCGGCGAGAACCAAAGCCAGGGACAATAGCCGACCCTGGGGGGGGCGACGAGGCGACGAGGGGGGGGGGCCGGGGGGTCCGTCAACCCCGCGCGGGCAGAGGCAGCGGACTCAAAGCGAGCCGCAGGCCCGGGGGTCCAGGGGATACCCGAAATGGAGGGGCAAGCAGGCGAGCCTCAGGAGCGCCCCGGGTGGCCGCGAGGAGAGGGAGGCCCGCGGGCCTGCGCCCAGGGTCGGGGGGGTTCCCCAGCGATCCCGCGCGCGAGGCTGGGGCGGCGGGGGAAGAGCTGATTTTTTTTGATCGCGACCGCGAGCGGGATCCCGCATGGCGCCAAGAAGTCGCGCGATGAGCGCAAGCCAATCTGTCGCAGGCGGAACGCAGCAAAAGGGCCACAATGGTGGCGAGAACTACGCGGCAGGAGCGTTAACGAACGAGAGACACAAGGGAAGAGTGCGAGGCGACGAGAGACGGCGAACAAACAAACAGGGGAGAAAAGAAAGCGGCGACGAGACACAGGGAAGAGAGCGAAAGGGCAGAGGCCACGGCTCAGCCGTGGAACAAGTGGTAGATTCCGCACCTTGCAGAACTCCCAATACTTGACTCAGTGCGCATCAGGTAGCGAACGGACCCGGGAGGCGGCGCCACGGACGAGGAGCGACCAACGGCAATGAGGGTAGCGCAGGCGCGGCCTTGCTGAAGGTCGCGCAGTACCCTGGGCCAGCCCCAGGGCCAGGCAGGGGCGGGAGTATGGAAAGAGCCCCCAATCCGTCGCGCCCCGGGGGGGTCATGTCAGAGAAATGCAGCAACAGCTGCCAGGAGCTCGATTACCTTCGGGGGGGGGTCGTGGAGCCGAAGGAAGGGGCGTCGCGCGCCAGGGCCGCCGGAGAAGCCCGGGGCCCGGGGCAGCAAGCGGCCGCGATAGCAGAAATGTTTCGCCTAGGACGGGCCGGCGCCCAGCGGGGGTGGAGCTGGCGGCCGCGGGGATAACGTCGCCTGAAACGTGCTGCTCTCTGGCAGGTTGCAGCTGACAGCCGTGGGAGGGGGGGGTGTTTCGAGCTGGTGGGGATGCGCGAAGCGTCTGTAATTTCTTAGCTCTGGGGCGCGTCGGCCACGGCCGCCCTATCCCCTGCCGGCGGCGCTGACTGGGGGGGGTGCCGAGACGCGCCCCAGTGCTCAGCAAGACATGAAGAGCCAAACCTGAAATGTCTGGCTGCTGCTCCAGAGGGGCCCGCGCCCGTGAAGCGGCCGCAGCGCCGCTGAGCGATGTGCTCTGCGCTGCGCCTCGCCAGGTGGGCCCTTTCCCAAATTTGTGTTTCAGTGCGGATCGGTAGCGCCCCTCGTCTCCGTCGTCGCGGTCGTCGCGAGTATTTCGGGGCTTCTTTCCCTTGCGCAATGACCGCCGCTAGCCCTCTCTCTTACTATTCCTCCTGCCCCTCGCCCCCCTCCTCCCCCTGGTCTTCCTCTTCCGCCTTCCACTTCTCAGCGCGTTGCTATTTCGCTAGGTCGCGGGCGAGGTTCTCGCGCCAGGGCCCACGCTATGTAAAATCCACCTTCGTAATATTCTCTCCGGCCCCGTGAGGGCCAGCGCCATTGTTTTTGCCGTCGTCTCCTGCGTCTGCTCAGCACTGTGCAATTGAAGACATACCGTCGTAGATGATCAAAAT